TAGGTAACAGTGGCACAAAATATGGCACAGTATTTTTAAAACATTAGAGTTTTTTTTTCTTTTACAACATAAAAACTTTGTTGTTGTTTTTCAGAAAAAGCAAATTGTACACTGAACCATGTAAAATGCTAGTTTAAATAGTTTATGATTTGAGTATTTAAACAAAAAATATCAGTTAATGTTATTTTAGGATGAAACAGAGGATGTGACAAGAGGAGTTTGGTTTTCTATTTCATGGCTCTGTAACCAAATAAGATCGTAGGCTATGAAAATTATGCTTTGCCTGAACGATGGTGATATTATACTAAGTAATTTACATTTTACATTAAATTTCATACTTCTTGGAGGGGTGGTAAATGAAATGAATTAGAGAAGAAATGATGCCTAGAGAGTAAATGTTACAATTCTCACAATTTTTTAAAAATATTGCCTTATAGAAGTAAGAACTCAAAATTTATATACTATTAAAATATGGGTTATTAGCTATGTTTTATGTTGTACTTATTGGTATACCATAAAAAGAAAGTAGTCTAATTAAATTTTGAATGTAACTCATTAAAACCTTATGAAATGTGCAGAAAAATATGTCCGTGGAGAGACAGCACTGCTGTTAAACTCTAATTCGTAAAGATTGACAAAAGTTATAACCTTGGCATCCAGAGCTTTCTTGATACTGGCCCTTCGCTGTATGCGGGCTTCCCCCCGTTCAATCTGGGCCATGATCCTCTCAATGTCTTGTAGCTCATGGCACCTTTCCCAGAACACTGCAGAATACTCCATCACCTGAATAAGAACAAAATCTTTTACACACTGCCTTTATTCAGATATATAAATAATAAAAAAGTTAAACATGTGGTACGATATAAACACACTTTATTTTCTGGGTGTTCAAATGGTGCCAGGATTTAATCGACTCTACAGAAATTCCTCCAAAGTAAAACGAATAAATACCTCTTCTGGTGATTTTCCTTCTACCTCCCGGGATACATTTTCAATGTCATCTCTTCCATACTTCTCATTGGCTTTCACAAACTGATTGAAATCCCTTCTACTCCAGTTCGTAAAACCCTGAATGAAAAATCAGATGATCTCATGAAAGAAAAAATGTTAAAAAAGAAGAAAACACATTTTAGGTGATTAATTATAGACACACAAGCTAAAAAACTACCTTACACTGGTATTAATCATCATAATTTCAACAATCTGAATCCCACTACATTTCATGTACAAGATTGACAGTTTTGTATTTAACAATTTTATTATCTTGGCAGCAATACCTCTGTTAAAAGTTTTTCTTTTTCAGCAATTTCTTCTTCTGTTAGGGGTTCCGCTTCATCAATCTTTTGTTGTTCCTCTTGTTGGACTCGATCAGCATCTGCACCAAGCTCTGGATTTTGTGGAACCTATTAAGCATTGATAAACAGGAAAATTATACATAAAATCCAAAAACAGAACTAGAAATCTTACAAAAGAAATAATACGGTGATACTAGCAAGCACTGACAATGAATACAAGAATAAATGTTAACAGGTATATAAAGAAATATTACCTTATACCCAATAGTTTTCCTGAAATAATAGATCTCCTTATCCAGAAGTTCAAATAATCTAGGAGGAAAGAACTGAAAGTCTTGAATGTTGGGTTGTTTTGGAGGACGTGGAGCCTACAGGAGTAAATACATCAAAATTAATTTGAGAGAAAGATAAGCTTAATCTGTAAACACTGTCCAGTTTTGTTTGGAGATATCAATACTGCATGGCCTAAAACTATACTTAAGATACTAGAAAACGTAAGATTACACGTGTACGCTACATTCAAACTGACACAAATCTTTACAAAGAATTAGCAGAATATATTGAAAAACAAAAACTGTAACACATCAGGAAAACCTGCAAGACATTAACCCTTGTTTGTTTTTTTTAACCAAGTGTACCGTACCTATCTAAATACCAGCTTGTTCACAAGCAGTATAAAAACCAACAGAAAAGATACTCAAAAAATTCTTTTTTACACTGTATGATAAAATCACAATTTTAAGAATAAAATTTTCAGAGAAAAACTGACATTTTGGTCTAGTTACTGTTGCAAAAACTTATTTCTCCCGACTAATTACATTGTAATAAGAAATCTTGACCAATCACAGTTACATATTAAAAAGAAGAACTTAGCTGGATTTGATTTGTTTGGGTATTATTAATCCAGAAGTTAGTCCCCACTAAAAATAAAAAATGGTCATCAAGAATCTAAATTACTGCAATAATGTACACATATTTTAAGTTGCATCTTGAAAATGAAAACAAAGGGAATACCAAATAATTAGTCATGGTCTTAATCAGTTATAGAGTTTTATAACTCTAAGAAACTATGAGTAAAATAAAAGGAGAATATGTTATACTACGTCGACCAAACTACATCTGCTGCATCCGATGAGGCCTTTCGTCCAATACCAGGGTTCATCTGGCTGACTGAGGTACTTTAGATATAGTTGTGGTCTATATGCTATATATATATTTATTTATTTATTTTTTACAAATTAGATTTTTAGATTAAACATTAATAACACAAAATCATTTTATTTTTAGCACTGTAAGACTGTATATAAAAATAAGGAGAAAAACTAAACTAGTGATGAGTACTGTGTAAAAGCTTATGCATCATACCTTAGGAGCTTTTGGTTCGCTGACTCGTAAGGCTTCTCTAAAATAAGCATCAACAGCATAGTTGGCCTTTCTTTCTCGTTTAGGAGGCTCAATCCAGTGCATTCCACTAGCCTACATTCAGTAAAAATACACGTTTCTTCAGGATGAAAAATAAAAATATCTGACTACTTTGTAAAAACTAACTGATAAACAGAAATAAAACGAAGCCTGAATCACGTGCATTAACTTCTTATGGATTGACATGAAAAATCTACTACATGTTAACATAATTAACTCTCTCGCTACGGATTTGGTCGAATCAGCAGAGTTCATGACCCAAAATTGACCTTTATAGTTTCCATATTAGAATTTCTAATATCTTTTATCTTCACATAATTTCACAAGCTTTCAGTAATAAAGTTCATGACCCAAAATTGACCTTTATAGTTCCCATACTATAACTTCTAATATCTTTTATCTTCACATAATTTCACAAGCTTTCAGTAATAAAGTTCATGACCCAAAATTGACCTTTATAGTTCCCATACTATAACTTCTAATATCTTTTATCTTCACATAATTTCACAAGCTTTCAATAATAAAGTTCATGACCCAAAATTGACCTTTATAGTTTCCATATTGGAACTTCTAATATCTTTTATCTTCACATAATTTCACAATCTTTCAGTAATAATTAAGTCTTCTGTAGACAAAAATTAGAATTTCTTTAATGAAGTATTTTCACTCAAATTTTTTTATTTTTCTCTGTGAATATATGGAGTCAAACTGTTGACTGCACCAAGTGCAAAATGATTTTCATGCTAAGATGAAAAATAAAAAAAATCTCAAATTTAATTGCGTAATCTCTAAAAGCTCCTAAATAAATTTCAAACATTTTTTTCCAGTAAAACTTTATGTTTTATGTTATTTTCTATACCCTTTATTTGATGACTCTGTAACTAAATAAAATTGAAACCTATAAAAATTATGTTTTCCCTGAACAATCACAACATTATAATAATTTACACTAAATTTCATACTTCTTGGAGGGGTGGTAAATAAATTAGAGAAGAGGGGTGCATAGAGGGAAAATGTCACAATTTTCATACTATAGGATATTCAGGATTTTTTTTAAATATTGCCTTATAAAATTTAGATTATTAGCTAAGTTTTTATGCCAAATATATTCATATATCATGATAAGAAAGCAGTTTAATTAAATTTTAAATGTAACTCACTAAAATCTAGTGACACGTGCAGAAAAAGATGCCCATAGTGAAAATATTAAAGTAATTTCGATTAAAATGCTACGTAGTAATCTGTTTTAGAATCTCTCAAGATACCTTTTGTTTCTCTCTGTAATCTTCTCCTTCAAACTTGTAAACACTTTCACCTGGTGTGTCAAGAGTGAAGTTTCTCAGAGAGCTCTCTCCAAGCGATTCTAACTTTTTCTGTAAAGCTTCCGTCTAGCAGGAGAAATAAGAAAAGGTTGTCAGACTTACAGCATGTAAATTTTCTCAGGAAGATGTTTAATAAATAAAAAATCATTAACATCTGAACAGATAATTTTGTAAGTTAAGAAACATTTACATCATTTTTTTTATATTTAATTTCAAGCCATACTTTCAATTTTAAAAGTGGTTTCCCGCTTTTAAAGTAATTATAGAATATTTCAATACCTTTTGTTCCCCCTTCTCAAGGATAGCATCCACATCTTCATCAGTTATTTCACTATCCTTCGATGCAAATATATGGTTTGCACCATGCCGAATCATTCCTAACATTTCATCTTTTCCTAGTTTGTTTCCTTGGCTGTCTACTAAACGTCCTACAAGTGAAATCACAAGGGTTTTGTTCAACTGAACATTTTGCAAAAACAATAAAGTAATTTATCCTAAAACTTAAAAGGTCATCAGGAAAGCTAACTAAAAACTGTTACTAAACATTTAAACTGGTCTTTACCTTTAACACAAACAAGACAAATTATGTATGTGTAAAGTCCTTCTCTTTACCTCAGATTCACAAAAAAAAACTGCATGCTTAATGAAGCATAAATTGCTGGATTTAAGTAAATAATGAAGTACAGTAGATTTTAAACACTTTTTTTAAAACTATTTCATATATACCTACTTTTTAACTCTTACTGATAATAACTATCTAGTTAGTTAGATACTACATTTCATAATGCTCTACTTATTATTGTTAGTATCACCTTCTTTAACTTGATCAGCTTTGCTCTTACTACTATATTAATGGATGACTTAAGTATGCAAAAAGTTTCTGTATCCACTGACAACATTACTTTAGAACCACGAATATCTAGTAGGCTATTTGTTGGGTTTTGCACAAACCTACAATAGGGCCATATGCAAAAGTCGTCTCTAATTTTGAATTGATAGACTACAGTGAAGGCAGCTAGTCAACACCACCCACTGAGAACAAAAAGCACATCCACAAACCCAAAGTGTAAAGCAAAATGTTTCCTGTCAGTAACAGACTACAAGACACAGTTTGACACGCTAACCCACGAGGTAACAATATTAGTTAACTATTTAACCCATGACAATACTGTGTTAAACAACAACAGTACGTAGCCAAGAAATGACTTTACCTTGTTGAATAACAACAGTATCCAGACGAAGCTTGATTTCAGCACGTTCAACTATTCTCTCTTCTACTGTGTTCTCCGTTATCATACGAAAAACCCGAACAGTTTTCTCTTGACCTATTCTGTGTGCCCGATCCTAGAAATATCACAAAGTACACATAATACTCCTTCCACTACTAAAACTATCTCAATAAAAAGTTTCATAGATAAGTCAGTAACAGCACTAGGAACTTTCTTACATTTAACAAAGACGTCCAACATGTTAATGGTAAATTTAGCAGAAAACCTACCATAGCCTGCAAATCGACTTGAGGATTCCAGTCCGAGTCATACAGAATAACAACATCGGCAGTGGCAAGGTTAATACCCAGCCCTCCCGCTCGAGTGCTTAACATGAACAGGAACTTCTCACTCTCGGGTCTATTGAACTCACCTATTTGAATCTGAAAAACAAAACAAATTGTTCAGATTTAGGTAAAAACCTCCTGAGCTTCCAAATAAATAAAAACCATAGCTATCTTATGTATATGGAATACTAAAACTCACGATGTAAAAATTCCAAAGATAAAATTATTTCTGATCTCTAGAAAACACTGTATTTACTAAAAAATAAAAAATGCTTTTACTGTAATTTATCATATATTGTTTTTTTGTTTGCCAAATGCTTATCCACTTCTTAAGTAATTTTACATATTAACTTGAATAAGTCTACCTAGACAACAGTAGGTAATGTCCTGTACTTACATCTCTATCTTCATGGTGGTCTAACCATCCAGTCAACAATATAAATAACTCAAACAAACCTACCTAGACAACAGTAGGTAATGTCCTGTACTTACATCTATCTTCATGGGGGTCTAACCATCCAGTCAACAATATAAATAACTCAAACAAACCTACCTAGCCAACAGTAGGTAATGTCCTGTACTTACATATCTTCATGGGGGTCTAACCATCCAGTCAACAATATAAATAACTCAAACAAACCTACCTAGCCAACAGTAGGTAATGTCCTGTACTTACATCTATCTTCATGGGGGTCTAACCATCCAGTCAACAATATAAATAACTCAAACAAACCTACCTAGCCAACAGTAGGTA